TGATACCTGTGGAGGAAGAAGAGTTTTAGGGCATCTTCCTATAGTGCAACCGTACATACAGTAGCTGCAAGCTACTGTCCAGATACAAAAGTTACTAAGGGGTTGTGCTTGATTATTTTTAGGTCAGGAGACTATGTAATTATCAATCCCTATTCACAAATAGTGATAAAAAAATTAGTCGCTTCGCCTCGGCTGGACTTGATTTGGCCACATAAACTGGGGGGAGATTAAGCAGTGACCCAACCTGTTATGCAGTTCATTAGCAACTCTCCTCATGCCAGGCAGGTTTCCCGATGGTAGGGACAGATAGTCTCCTGGATTTTGGACCCTTTCCACTGCAGAGTTACAAGCATTGCAATACTTTTGTCATCTTCACAGGTACAGAAAACCAGCCCGGATTGGTGATGACATTGAGTCCTTGAAAACATCAAGAAAACAACCATGAAGAAAACATGCTATAAAGAAGTTAGCTCAGGAGAGAAGCAAGCAGGCAGAAAGTTCAGTAGAGAGTTAATCTTCCCATTAACACTGCTCTCCACTATTTCATTAGCTTAGTTAAAAAACTTTGCTTTTCAGACTTTTTCACTTTTTTCAGATCAAGCAAAAGCAGGACTCATAAAAGCCCACAACTGTACATATATTTATTGGATGTATGAAGAAGTACGTGTTGACATGAGCCATTTCTGTGCGGAAGACTTCACTTTCTATACAGCTACTCCCTACTCTACTTCACATAATTTAGTTGCTCCCAGCCAACAGATCCACTGCCATACCTCTTTCACTAAAATACAGTAGGCAGTCTTCTGCTCTGGGAGGAGCTGCAGGCACACTGAGCTTGCATGTATGTAGTGTGTGAGAACCAAGGACCGGGTAACCCATGATGTGCGAGTTATGAGAGCTGGATCAACAGCAGAAGACTTGAGTGCAGCACTGGCAGTGGCAGCGGTACAGGGCTCTTTACAGTTGTCTGTTTGAGAAATAGCACAGCTTCAGTAAATCCTCAGCAAACTTAATTTTATCCTCCTGCATTTTGATGAAGTTGTAGAGCAGCTTCTTTGCTAAACGAAGAACCAAGACATACCTCAGCTAGTAACTGCATGACACTACTGAGACAATCCTGATGCAAATCATGGAACCCGCTGTCTACACAGTCCCTGAAGCATCTCACACTAGACATGCTGGCATACATAAACCTCAGACGTAGGAGTACCAGGCTTTTATCAGAACAGAAATAATTCTGTTGACCTGAAGCTGAACCCATTATCTTTGCTGGTTTGAGACAGCATCTGTACTTAAAGGCAGCACCAGCTAAAAATACCATGGGTGCTGTCAAGATAGACCCAGTAAGTCATCTTCCCTTTTGGACTAGAGGGAGATCTGTCATCTTGGACTGTGATCTCTTAAGAAGTAGCAGTCATTACTGTTGCAAAGTGCAACAGATAATAAGTTTTTCTAAAAGAGGATGCTAATTTTTACTGATTCCCATCCTTTTGCAGTTAAAGCAGGGTGTTTAGCCAGCCCTACATTGGCTGGTGCTCATCTATCTCTCTTGCTTATGGCTTGGTATATATTTGGACAGTCTCTTCAGTGAAGCTTGGGCCATTACTCATTTATCATGAGTATCATTCAGGTGTTTTTCACGAGCCAGAGCTAGTAATTCCCACAAAATATTAAAGTTGACAACTCTCGATGTAAAGAAAAATTAATTAGGTCATTGCAGGTTGCTAATTTCTGGTTTATGAGTGAGATAACAGTGGGATAAATAGCCTTTATCTTTGTTTAAGAGCCTTTAAAGTTGGTCTTTTGATTTTCTGACCATAGCACAAGGTTCGATGTAGATTCTTCTGTTTCCAAGGGCTTAACGACTCCTAAAATATACTGATCAGCATTTAGTGAATCTTGAAAACAATTTCTCTCTTTCCCTTTTCTGAAACAGGGTCTCTAAGCACCCTAAGTCAGTGTGATATGTGTGCATAAAATAATCATTGCACTGCAAAAAGAGGAACGTTGTATTTGCTGGCCTTTTGAAACAAGTAAATAGATTTATCTGACTGTGCACTGAGACTTAGTAGCAAAATTATATGCTTTACACAATATAGCTGCATTTATTATTTACATGATTAATTAGGAGTAGTCAGGATTTGAAAGTAAGTTTCTTTTCATGCTATCTCAAAAAAATATTTCTTGATATGACGCTTGTTTACTGCAGTTGTCTTGGCCTTGATTAAAAAATTGATGTCTGAACTAAGAATGGAACGTGTATTTGCTACATGCCACCTGCAAAAATAATTTTAAAATTGTATACGCTCCTTATATTTAAACTAATCTAGTCTTTTCTGGCTTCTAGTTGTATGAAATAGTTTTATAGTTAAAAGAGAATTTGCATAATGCTTTAAAAAGTCTTAATAGCTATAATAATTTTAAACTACTATGGAGTGTTTATAATATATAGTAAGCTGAAGCATTTAATTGTGTAAAAAGAAACATTAAGGCACATCTAATCAAAAGAGTAATGGCGATATTAAGTACGATGGTTTTTGTTATTTTTTCCTAATTGCATCCAATTTTATTACTTCTTTCAAAGCCCAAATGACCATGAAAAATGAGGTTAAATCTTCACTATCAGAGATAAGCTGAAATAAGCTGTATGCAGGTGTTTTATTTAGTATCCTTTCTGGGGTTGTACCAGTTGGCTCTGCTGAGATCTGATTCTTCCCCCAGTTGATCGATTAATGTTTTCTCATTCACTTTATTTCGGTCAGGTTCAGGGCTTCAGTTATGATTGGTGGGTTTTATTTATTTACTGAAATATGAAAGACAAAAAATATGAGCCATTATCTTCAATGTGCTATTTAGTCAAGGATCAATCTCATCAAGAGGTGCAGCAGATCTGACATAAAGGACCTGCAGCTGTCCCAGAACAAAACACACATAGCACATAATAACAGCTCCACACAGCTTTCCCCTGTCAAGTGTCCAGGCAAGATACCATGGCATACAATCAATGCAAATCCCCAAGCATAATGTAATATGGCCATTTTTCAAGGATTTGATGCAATTCATCCTTTCAAACAGACATTTTTTTTTTTCTTTTTCTAATGATGATTTGAAGTGACAAAGTTATTTCTTTGGAAACTGTATAGAATTTTGTGACATCTTTGTCTGGAAAGCATCACTTTGGTTCAATCTTTCCATTTTTGCAAGATTAGGTAAAATCTTGTAGTCATACAATGAAGCCAGCAAGATGGTAAGGAAGAACAAGAAGATTTCTACCATACCATATGTTTGTAGTGAGTAAGCTTAGGAAGATTCTGCTGTACTGGCTTTGTTTTTAAGTACCGTAAATTGAGAATAGAATTTCCATTTTATCAAAAATTCTCACATCTAAATAATACATTCTACATTGGAACAGAAAATTGAAATTTGGCATTTTTCATAAAACAAAAAGTTCTGAGATTGTCTGGTGGGTTTTTTCCTTAACTTAAGGGTCAAATTATCCATGTTAGTGTGATTATTTTTATTATTTTTCCTTAATATTTTTACCATATTGAGGTTTCCCTTATTTATAGAAGACTGTGAAAATAACTTTGACATTTTTGACATGAAGCTTTTGGTTTTAAACAAATAGTTTATCTTTATCCTATTGAACAACTTTGCATCTTGTTCCATGTCATTGTGCTGATTAATTTTCTCCATGTTTTAGTATAAATCAATACGTATCGTTGAACTTTTCTATTAATCCTTTGTATAAATTCAGAATCTACATCTCCATGATGTTTTCTGCTGCCTCTGTTCATAAGGAAAGATCAATACACACATATGGATTTTTTTTTTTTAAATTATGTGTTCTTCAATGTGAGAATAATGTGATCTGTGTTCTGAAGCTAAAATCTGGTAGGATTCACCTGGGAAATAACTTATGTGATTACAGCACGGTAGTCTTGTCTTTTATCACTGAATGCAAGGCAGGAATTTTTCTTAGAGACAATGATGATGTGTTTTATAGCACTTAGTATCAGTAGGCCCCTTAAGGGCTGAGTATAAATGCAAATAAATTAGGGGCTTCATTGCATATTTGCAATTTATTGTCTAGTCCAGTTTTACTTACCAGCAGGAATACCATAAGGAAAGTAATTCTCTATTAGATCCCTGACTCTTACTTTGGGACTGTAGGAAAAGAAAAAATACCCAGGCATAACAGAGTTCCTGCTTGCTCCAGACACTTGAAATTTTTACTGTTTATGAATGTCAAGTCTGAGTACCATTCCAAGTTTGTTCCATCTACTCCTCACTTGCCATTCAGATTACAGGTTACTGGAAAGGTGATGGGTGCCTGAATACATACATGCCAGAGAACTTCTATTTAAAAAGCTCTTTATTGTAACATTCCTTTATCTAATTTATAAAAAATAAATTAGCTCACATAGCTGATAGTATACTGTAGCTTACAGCCGAAAGTGGATTTTTTTAGTAATAATTTTATCTCCTGTAGTGGCTCAAATGCTTTGCTCAGGGGTGTAAAAAGGATGTTTCTCCATGCCTTCACAGTATAAACAGTCTTGCATAAGCTTTGCTGTGGCATTGATGCAAGTGAACACATTCAGTCATGTTCTTCTGTCCATATGGCATTCTGTTCCCTGATTGCATGTTGCAGCTTTGCCTTTGTAGACAGCTGAACTTGCAAATCTTTTCATCATATTTTATGGCACTGATGTCATTGTTCAGCAAAGAAAATTGCATCTTGGAACACAGAGAAGCTGGGGCGCAACGGAGGGTTCCTAAAGTCAAACTGAATGTGCTTGTGTGGAAGAAATTAAAACAGCAGCCACCTCTGCTGGGAATGGCATTATAAAATCAGGTCTTGCAGTGTGCGTGCTTGAAATTTGAGTGTTTTATTGAGGTTATGACAGAGACGTTTTGGAGACATCTCTGATAATTTTCTGCCTTCACTAACTTTCTACTGCATGAGACCACTGATTTGTTCATTTATTTATTTACAGGAGCTGTTTTCCTGCGTGCCCATCTGTTTGGCCTTTGAGATGCTTATACCTGTAAGTAGTCAACCTGCAACAAGCTGCAGTTCTTTTAGTTTTCCTACCGTTCTCCTTTGTTTCTTCTCCCTCTTCTATTTTTTTTAAGACAAAGTACGTTCTTGTAAAAATCTCCACCTGAAAATATTCATGGTTAGTGTTACAATTAATGGTCAGATATTCTGAAGGATTTTAATAAGCATACTTCTGCTTTAAGAATAGCCATATCTAGAGAGAGAGATGTTTTCAGGTTATAAGACCTTTTTAAATTGTTCGTTTGAATGGGTGACTCAGAAGTAGCTTATTTTTATTTCTTCATCCTGCAACAAGAACAAAAGTGCCTTTGTGTTTCCTTAAGACATAGCATAGTTTGAAGTGTTTGAAAACTGCATGCTGAAAATCCTCCATTTCTGGCTTTCCATTGAATCCAAAGAGTGTGCCAGTGCCTGGTGCTCCAGATACATGCAAATATATGTGCACCTGTCTGCAGTGGAGCTCTTCACATTGATAGAGATGTTGCTGTTTACTGCAGTGATTGCCCATTGAAATAATGATAGTACATTTATATTTAGATAGTAGCATCTATTTCAAATGATCCTGAAGAATGTTATTATCGTTAAGACTTTCTGTCAGTCATGAGGAATCCCTAGGGATTTCAGTGCATCATGTTGTTTGGATTTTATCACATGAGTGGGGATATGGAGATTTGGGGATTTGGGGAACGATCTCTTGTGTCAGTTTGCAATCTTCATCATTATAAATGGAGAAATCTTTGCCAATTGTTGAATTTGAACATATTTTTGTTAATGAAGCAAATTCCAACCAAAGTATGGGTGGAAAATGGACTGAACCAGAGGGCTGAAAGAGCAGTGATCAGTGGTACAAAGTCCACCTGGAAGGTGGTTATCAATGTCATGCCTCAGGGCCTGACACTGGGGCCAGGACTATGTCATATCTTTATTAACAACCTAGAAATTCCTACAGATTTTCAGGTGATATCAGGTTGTGAGAAGTCTGTACAATAGAAAGCAGATACTCAGAAGTAGCTAAATAGGATGAGAAGGTGGGCTGACAGGAACTTCATGGAGTATGACAGATCCAAGTGCAAAGTCCCATAAATGGGATGAAGAACCCCATATTCAAACCAGGTGGAGGGCCAAACAGCTAGAAAGCTGTTTGGCAGGAAAAAAACAACAGGGGGGATCCTTGTGGAAAGCAACATGAAGGAGAATCATCAGTGTGCCCTTGGAGCAGAGAAAGTCAGTGACATTCTGAGCTGTATTAATTAGGCTGAGGGAGAGGATCCTTCCTCTCTGCTCAACGCTGGATCCAGTGGTGGGCTCACTAGTACAAGATAAATCAAGATATACTGGACTGAGGCTTGTGTAGAGCCACTGAGATAGTGGGAGACTGAAGCATGAGGTGTATGAAGAGAGCTATGAGCTGGGGTTGTTCAGTCTGGAGAAGAGAAAGAGGGATTTTATTCCTATCTACAGCTGCTTAACGGGATTGTGTGGAGGAGCTGGAGCCTGACTTTTCTCAGAGGAAATCAGTAGAAGGATTACAGGCAATGGGCAATATTTCAGATCATTGCGACGAATTCTACAAAACAATCATATACACATAAACTTTAAATCCATAAATGCCTTCCAAAAGTTCTATTTTGAAGGAATTTGGGACTGTATATATCCAAGAAAACTACTGCTTTCTCATCAAGTATAGTTGAAACTGCATTAATATCACATACATTATTAAGTGTGCCAAATTAAAGTTTTTTAAAATATTTTACATATGTACATATAAACTGTATGATTTTACTTAAATACCTTAAGTACAATTATTCTACATTTAGAAATTTCTATGTTCTTTTTTGTATTAAATGTTCTTATATTTTAATTTAAAGCTTACTAGTCTAAACTATAAGAATTCTTTTCAACGTAAAGTAATAATTTCTAAATATTTTGTGTAGAATGTAGGAGATGATTTTTTAACAAACCAAATTCTAAGCTCATCTAGCTACATTTGTTCATGTTACAAATGAGGGGAGAAGAAGATATAAAATTATGCTTTTAAAGAAAATTCAGATTTTTACCTTCTTCATGTAAATGGAAATCTTGGTGGAAAAGCATGCATAAGATTTTTAAAGAGAGGGGAAAAGTCTGGCACTACAGCTGTTGTATAATGACTAGCAATTATTAAAGGGCTTTCCAGAGCATTGCCTTTTTAACATTGAAAAAAAGTATTTAGCAGATCCAAATAATATTCTTTTAGTCCCACGTGCTTTTTAAAAAGGATTCGAAGTTGAAATAAATAGTCTTTAAGCCATTAATAGCTATGGTTGTATTAGCAGTGTTAGAGCCACAAGGCAGTTACTGCACGTGATAGAGGTTTGCCCTGACTCACAAGTACCACTACAGGGAACAGTGAGCTTCCACACTGTTGTTGGGGGTTTAGATGTGTTGTACTGATGGAGAAGGAAATCCATAGTCACAGGTTGTGGTTCTGCTTTGGAGATGCTCTGTCCTTTCACAGCCAGGCTTCATGGCTTTGTGCCACACGTAACTGAGTCCATCCTGCCTCAGAGAGAAAAGGGACTGTAGAAAGCAAGGTTGGGATACATAAGGCACGTTCATTTCTGGACATCCTAACCCTGCCTCTTCCATGCTAGGCAGAAGAGCACAGGGTATGTAAGTTAATAAAGTGGTGTTAAAATCTCACAGGGAGTTTCACATAAGATTACTGGGTGATTTGTGGTACTCTGCTTCAAATAATTTGCAGAGGAAAAATGCCATTTCACTGTACTTCAAAGATTGGTTTCCTTTTGGTGCTTTAACTCTTAGTACTTTTTTTGGCCTTTTGTATTAAATTACAGCAGTCCTTTTTCAGGCTACTTTTTCCTTATCTTAGGCCTTCTTTTGGAAATGGCAATGCTTCTAGAGAAAATGCCTGTTTTATTACCGCACCAGCTTCCAAACTTCAAGGAATAGAGCGCATCTATTGTGCAATAGGACAATAAATATTGTCCTATATAGGACAAAGTAATGATTTCTTAGACACTTATTAACAGAGTTGAGTAAAAACTGCAAAATATATCAATAACCTGTTGATAAATGTAAAAATGCGTGGTTTAGTTGCACCTTTACCACTCTTCTAGCTTTTAGCAAGCATCATCTTACCATTGCCATTAACTCTGCAAAAAAGGCAGAAATAAGCTTGGTACTCAATGACATTATATTCTCCTGTAATCAATTCCTCTGAAGGACTATTTTAAATTCACAGATTTGAATCCTTATACCAGAAGTAGTTTGGATAGGACACCACTGTAGTGGAAGTGTTGGTTTCCTTATAACATGTGTAAGATTTCTGAAAGGGAACCCCTTAAAAAACCTACAACAGTCATCTCTCTGCTATCTTTGCACCTTGGACTGTGATATTATGAAGCACATAAACAATACTGAAAGAAAATAAAATTTAATATAATTAATATTACAGTAGCTTATTAAAAAAAAAAAAAAAGGCTCCAGAAAAGCATGTAGGTGCCCAGGAAAAAAAAAACAAACAAAAAAAACCAAACCAAAAAAACTAAAACCAAAACACACACACACACACACATACAAAAAAAGAAAACCACACAAAAAAACCCAAACCACAAAACCCCTCACACAATACTCATGACCTTTCCTTACTATGTTTAGATAGATTTTTTAAGTAGCTTCCTCTTCATAGCAAACCCAGAGATTTGTCGGCTTATTTCAGGTCTCTCTTATTAATACATTCATTTCCTCACAGAACAAAAACTCCTCAGTGATTCTTACACGACTCAGATACCACTAAAATTGTGTTAAGTTACCACTGAAATTTGTTCTGCTCCTGTAGATTTGTGAGAAAACTGTGAGGAAGCCACTAACATGTAGTGGCACAAAAGGCACCAATTACATGTTTAGGCCTTCAGCATTTGTCTGGCAAAGCTATTTCTAAGAGCAAGGAGGTTCCTTGAATAGATTTCAATTTTCTGGTGTGGAAGCATCATGCTGGTACTTCCAGAGGGATTTTCAATGTCTTTTCATTCCACCAAGAGGCTGGGCAGTCTTTTCCTACTGTGTTCAACTTGTAGGGGAGAAACATCGTGCTAACTGTTAAGGAGCCAAATTGACTCTTTAGTAGTGTGCTGCTTTTGTAGCTAAGAAAGGCTGGACCACAGCATACAGACTTAAATGATAAATGAACCCCTGAGATCTCATAAGCAGTGAGAATGGCCTTTGACGAGTGTAGGAGATGATAAGCCTTGAAGAAGAAACTGTGTACCAAAGGAAAGGGTTAATATAAGTGACAATTGTTGCATAAATATCCAATTCTAAATATGTTCCTTAATGTGTGTTAAAAATGAGCCATATCATTCATTTTGCAGCAGTCCTCACCACTAGTGCCAAGTGAATCCCTCCCATGTACTTTTGTCTTTCTCTTATAAGTGCTTTTCAAGCATTTTGTCGTGGCTGAACACAAATACTTTAATATTCAGTGTTTCTGTACTCCCTTCCAAAAGTATATGACACAGTCCATATATCTAAGTCTTAAGCCTTGCACAGTCTAATTAAATAAGACTTTTATTGGTCTTTATAATCCACAGTAAGGATCTGCTGTGTACAATCATTATTATGGGCGAGTATTTAGTTGAGTCAGAGATCTTCAGTCACAAACGGAAGTTTCTCTGCTTAAGAAGGGTGGAGAGCAGCAGTCTTTAAGGCTGGATACCTAAGTCACTGCTGTATTGAATAGGGACCTAAATTTGCTGTAATTTCCTTGTGTGATGTCATCACATTCCATCAAAAGCTATAAATGCTCACAGGAAACTAGCGAAGTGTCTTTTATATGCACAGGCTACCAGTGTACTGAGAGATAATTTTGGGAAGACTAAGCCTGAGAAGAAACACAACATAAAAGCTGGGCCACCTGTTGGGGAAAGTTGCTGAGCATTCAGAGGTCTTTCCAGGGCTTTCAATGTTATCATGCAGTCAACATTT